GGGAGGGGTGGGGTGCGGCCCCGAGGGGGCGGGAGAGGGTCCGGCCCACGCTGCGCCTGGGCTGGGACTGGTCCCGCTGGTGCAGGGTAGCAGGAAGCTCTCCACACACTCACTGGACCTGGGCTAGGACTGGGTCTGGGGGTTCCCGCAAGTTGGCAGAAATTCCTCATGTCTTCACTTTTTAAAATAACTTGCTCTGTTGATCCATCTGATTATAGTTCTAATGAAGATCCACTTCCCGAGCACTTCAAACAGACTATTATGTCTAGGATGGAGAAATCTAGGCCCAGGCTCTCCTCATAATGGGGACAAAGGCACCACTTACAGAATGCCTACTTAGGTCTCAAGCACTCTGCTAGGAACTTGATCAAATCAGAGTTTATAAATCAGCAGGACTGGGATTCAAATTCAGGTCTGTTAAACTCAGAGCATGTTCTGCTGTATTGTTTAAGTTATGAATGTGGTTAAAAAACTATTACTAATCCTAGACCAAAATCAGCTGTAATCAATTGGGAGTGGTGGTGCATGACTGTAATTCCAGCATTTGGGAGGACAGAGGTTTGGGGACAGCTGGCCACTCAGAATTTTAAAGCTGACCTTGTGTATAGACATCTGAAAAACAAATCTGTAGCTGTAAAAATAAGTTCATACAATGCAAACAAGCAAACAGGAAAAAAAAAAAACTTCAAAACATGTTAAATGCTTTTACATAGTGTGAGGTAGTGGGGCGTGGTGGCGCACATCTGTAATCCCAACTACTAGGGAGGATGAGGTAGGTGGGTCATGAGTGTGCAGCCAGCTTGGGCAACTTAGTCAGACTCGGTCTCAAACCAAAAATAAATAAATAAAAAAGGGCTGAGGATGTAGCTCAGAACTCCCTGAATTTAATTCTGGTGCTGCAAAAACCAAAAGTCTGAGGTCACTTTGTTATTCCACTATTTCTTACTTATTTCTATTTCTTCTCCTTCAGTATTACCTCCTTCCACTCAGAGCTACTTGATTACCCAACATTAAATAGTGTTCACTTTGTTCAGATTGTTTACACTTTTATGTGCACACCTTTGCTAACTAAAACAGGAGGCTAAGGTACGTATGACAAGGGTGATTTATTACAGATGAATGGTAGAAAAATACGTCACTAATATTCATAGATAAGTGCCTTAAGTCATATGTAAAGAGAGACTTATTAAAAGTTTGTTTTATTTTTTTGTGGAACCAAGCACTAGTTACCAATTACAGCTAGACTTTTTTTGTGTGTGCTTTCGGAACATTAGCCCAGTTAGAATGGCCTTATGAGTAATCAAGTAATGAACCAGGTCCTGGTGGTTATGTCCACGCTTAGATTGTTCAGGTGATCTGGAACTCTCAATTGATTGCTTTAGCTTTTAGTTCTTGGTGATATCTATAAAAAAAACAGGAAGAAAAATAACCATTAGTAATAATAAATTTAAGGTAAGGAGAGAGTGGAAACACTGCATTTCTTCTTTCTCAGTTGTCAAGTGGCCAGCAGAGCTAAATACAGTCATCCCAGTTGCCGACTGGCTGTGAAGTTGTGAGTACAGTCTTAGCAACAGGCAGAAGGGAGAGTGGCTCAAAGGGGCTATGTGCACGTCTGTGTTCACAGTGAGGTCCTATCAAAAAGTTTCAACAGCTTCCCTGACATAACCATTTCCTATGTGAAAGTACTATCTTAGGGATTATTTTCATTCTTCAACTATATAAGAATATGACCAGTATGAACATATACATAAAATTTTAGGAACATGTGGTCAACTAGAATTACTTGCTTTACACCCACAAAGCACCTAAGAATAAAATCAATCGGGAATAGGTTCCTGCTCAACCAGAGTATACTTAAGTAGGTCAATGAGTTATAAAGACTTAAGTTTAGTCATGCTTAATGTTCATTAATGCAGAGATAAAATAAGAATAAAGCCATAGATTCTCTCTCTACAACACTCTGGATTGTGCTTACTATTCTCCCTAACTTTCAACTGAGTAAAATCGTTTAAGACCAGGAGAAGGAAGTTATTCCACAAGTGTACCTTCTGCCTACAATGCTGAAAAGATTTTGATTTTTTTTTTCTCTCTTTTGTTTGGTTACAGGTCTTCTCTACCATTGAACTGCATTCCTGGCCTTTTTAGTTTTTGATACAGCATCTTACTCAGTTCCCTAGAGTGGACTGGAACTTGTGATCCTCTTGCCTCAGCCTCTCAAGTACCTGGGATCACTGGAGTGCACCACTGTGCCCAGCTAGAAGATCTTGATTTCTAATACTTGATCATGTTATCCTTACTGAGTAAGTATTTTAAGAACTATAACCAGTGATCTTACTCTAAATGTTATTTCCTATACTATGCAACTTTACTTTCAAGTCTCACTTTATTATATATAACAAAGTAAATGATAAAAGGTTTACTTGGAAATTACTTCATAAATCTCATTTTATTTATCTATTTATTTATTTCCTTTTATTTTTAGTAATGGGGATTAAACCCAGGGTCTTGTGCATGCTAGGCAAATACTCTACCACTGAGTCACATCTCCAGCCCATTCTTATTTTCATTGAAAAAATTTTACTTTGAGACAAGGCCTTGCTAAGTTGCCAGGGTTTGGCCTTGAACTTTCAGTCCTCTTGCATCAAGCTCCTGAGTAGCTAGGATTACAGAAGTGCTCTTCTGTGCCCAGTTTTTTGTGCTGTATTAATAAAAGGAACTATGTAGAAAGGTTATCCATCTAGACAATGCATTTAGATCTAAAAAAACTTGGCACTATTTTGCTTAGCTGTTAAAAAAAAAAAAAGATTTAGGGCCGGGGAGATGGCTCAGTAGAATAAGTGCTTCCCTGACAAGCGTAAGGGCCTGAGTTCAATCCCTGGTTTCGGGGGGGGGGGGAATTTAAATTTTCTTTTCTTTCTTTCGTTATTTTATTTTTTGAGACAGGATCTCACTATGTAGTTCAAGCTGGCCTTGAACTCACTGTAGAGCCTAGGCTGGCCTTGAACTGGTGTTGCCCCTCCTGCCTCATCCTCCTGAGTGCTGCGATTACAGGTGTGTACCACTGTAGGAGACCAGAGGAGAATTGAGGCCTAATTGGTCTCTTCCATAAGCACAGAGGAAAGCAACATGCAGAGGATGGCATGTGGCAGGCTGTAGGCAAATGTCAGTAAACCTGAGATGAAATTGCTTACCTGAGCATGTGGATGTTGCAAGGCAGGTGAACTTTATGTTACTTTAACAGCTTATACCTGTACCTGGGTGAATAAAAGCAGGACAAGCCAGACGCCCGGGCTCCTCTCCCCAGAGGTGGCAAGAGTCCCCCGGCTGCCAGCCTGCTAAACTGACTCTGTGTCTGTCGTTCTCTTTAGCCTCAGGGTCTGGGGAACAAACCAGAGCATGGCTAGGTCTCTACCAGCTGAGCCCAGTTGAGCTGCGCCTAGGAGGGGAAGGCTGGAGGAGTAGCTGGGAAAGGGACCTGGGACTGGCAGTTTGCTACATTCCACCACACCTGGCTTAACTGCTTTTAACCTATTTGTAATCCTGGAGACTTTTCTAGAAATGTTAATTTCTGACTCAGCCACATTCCTGCCTTAGAGTTAGTTATATGTGAATCTCAAAAAAAAATGTTGCCATCTGGCTAGCTTCTGAAGCAGTTTAAAAATACATTGGTAGGCTTACCTCCAAATACGTAAGAGCTGAGAGGCCCCTGCTGCCCCCACAAAGAAGTTCACAGCAAACAAACTCCAATTTTTTGGTATAATTACCAGTGAGTATCTTGACCAAATAAATCCTGTTGAAACAAAATATTTTCTTTTAAAAGCAGAAGTACTGCTGCAATAACATCAGAATATTTGATATTGGGGTAAAATCATTATAAATAAGACCACGATAAAAATGTGGAGTGAAGGATGAAGAAATGCTGTTGTCTGAGTTTTCAAAAATATTTTTATAATTCAACATTACATAAAATTCTCAGTTCTGGCATTAAAGGGCAAATGAATAGCAATGTAACTTTTTTCCTACTTATAAAAATATTTTCATTGCGAAAACTTAGAAAACAAAAATTTATTGCAAATAACCTTCCTCTGTCTCCATCACACACAAGACAATGAATTTGTAGAACTTGAGAAAGCTGTGGATTCCTTTGCAGGCACACGTATATGTATATACATTTCAAAAACTGATTAAGTAACCATGAACTAAAACACAAATAATTTATGTTTGACAGGAATACGGAAGACATGCATTTCCTTTACCTGTAGCCATCAGAACCGTGGACTGAGCAGTGCTGAGCTTCTCCGCAGGTCTGGCCATGTCTGCCAAGCCAGCGCACACCAAGCCCTGGAGATAGGCGGGACACAGAAAGAACAGGCATAGTGAGCAGGGAGGGATGGTTCGCGACTTCAAGTCAAATGCACATAAATTGCTGTGGTTTGATGTTTTTCATTCTTCTGGGAAGAAACCCAGAAGGGGAATAGCTGGGTCAAATGGGGCTGCTAATCCCAGCTTTTTGAGGAATCTCCATACTGATTTCCACAGTTGCACAAGTCTGATGACACTTCCATCATTACAGAATCCAACAGGTAAGAAAATGGATGGCACAATGGACAATACAGTGAATTCAGGAAGGAGTCTGCCCTTCATTCTATGTATTTTTTGGTGTGGCTGGTGTTTTTAGAGACAGGGCCTAGCTAGGTAGTGCAGGCTGACCTTGGACTCTATGCAGCCCAGGCTCATGTGACCCTCCTGCCTCAGGCTCTCGAGTGCTGGGATTAGGTCATGTTATTATATTCAAGTGGAAGTATCAGAAAAGGTCTGTTACAATTTTAGTTTTTTGGTCGATTTATTTTTCTTTTAGTTTTTTATTAGTATACATTTGTGATATAATTCTGTTGTGTTTTGTTTTTTTTGTTGTACTTCCTTGATATTACCTTTTATAGAATCTCATTCATATCCTACCATTAGCACTCAGAAAGTTTAGCTACAAGTTTTTATTAGAAGGTTAGTTTTGCTACTTTATTGCAGAAATCAGAAAACTTACTAAAGCAATTTTTATTAACACAAAATTCAAATCCAGAGTCATCAGTTGTGGAGATTTTTACCTCCTCACCTCCCTTTCCCATTTTGAGTACTTTAAAGCTCATCCTATACATGTCATTAGAAAATGCCATTTTTATAAATTATTTTTATGATTTTATTGAGTCCCTAAAACATACTCTTGTATGGAAAATGCAAATCAGCCAAAGACTTTGATCTTAAATGGAGCAGATACTTTGAGTTTAACACATAAATTTAAAACAAGCTCATACAGTTTTGAGTTAATACAGTTAGTATTTTAAAAGAGCAATGCTTCCAGTTTAAAAATCATCCCTCTTACACCTTTCTTCTAACCCTCCACGCATATTTCCCTGCACTGCATTTGTTTTACTTCTGCAGGATGGAAACTGCCATTCCAAAGAAATTCTACTGGGGCTATGGACGATACCGTGGCTTGGTGAATATATTCATGAAGTTATATTTCTATTCTAGCATTCACTTTTGGAAAAAATCAGCAGTTGGTATTGTTTATACTCCCAATAGATACTTTATTTGCTGGCATATGTTAGTAGTTGTTGTACCTTTTCCACTTACCTTTTCTTCAGAGACAGTGTTTCACTCTATTACTCAGGCTGGCCTCCAACTCCTATAATCGTCCTTGAACTTGTGGTGCTCCTCCTGCCTCAGCCTCCTCAGTACTAGAATTGAGTGTGTGCCCTCACACCCAGCCCTGGTCTTAAGTTTAGCAAGATGCAAAGAGTTGTGGGGAATGGTGGTATAACGATGTAAATCCATTTAGCACTACTGAACTTCACCCTTAAGATGGCTGAAATGGTAATTTTAGTAAATTAGCCTTTCTATTCCCTAAGACCAGAAATTTTCAAATGTTAGAGGGTACTGTAGTGACCAGGAAAATCATGAAGAAACAGCTTACTGGGCTCTGCCCCTGGAGGTTCGGATGTATGTGGTGTAGCCTACACATCTGCATTTCTTTCTTAAAGCTAAGCTTATAACAGGATGATAGGAGAATAACAATAGCTAATATACTGCAAGCTATCATTAAAGTAGTTACTTAGAGTACGAGACATGGGCATAAAATTCTCTGATATCAGTGCAAACCTTCCTTTTCTATGAACTAAGAGATGCTAATAGTATAACTAACTGGCATTTTCCCCTTTCCCCTATCCAGTTCCTTTTGAACAATTTCTTCCCATCCTAGATCTTATTTGTCAGTTTCTCACACCAGGGAGACAATATGATGTTTACACATGCGAGTCTGATTTATTTCACTTATGCGTATGGTCTCAAGGTGCATCCATTTACCTATAAAAGTTTCCAGTTTATCCTTCTTTATGGCTCATTCGTACTCCACTGTATAAAAATGCCACATCTTTTTAATCCATTCCTTGGATGATGGGCATTTGGGTGGTTCCTATAATCTAGCTATTATTATAAATTGTGCTGCTATAAACATGGGTGCATATATATCACCGTGGTATGATGGTTTTCATTCTTCTGGGAAATTACCCAGAAGGGGAATAGCAGGGTTAAATGGGGCTGCTAATCCTAGCTTTTGGAGGAATCTCCATACTGATTTCCACAGCTGCACAAGTATGCACGGCCACCAACAGCGGAGAAGAGTTCTTTTTTCACCACAGCCCCTCCAGCATTTGATATTGGCTAGTTTCTTGATGACAGCCATTCTTTGTGGAGATGGAATCTCGTGCTAATTTGCATTTCTCAGGTGACTAATGTTGAACATTTTTTTCATCTATTTATTTGCCACTTGTATTTCTTCATCTGAGACATGCACATTCATCTCAGATGCCCATTTCTCGATGGGGTCTTTGATTTTTTCAATTTTTTATATGTTCTACATATAAATCCTTTGAGAGACAATTGGCTAATTTTTTTTCCCACTTTGTGGGTTGTCTTTTCACTCTGTTGATTTCTTCTGCTATACAAAAGCTTTTTAATAAGGCGAGCTGACAGTTATTGATGCTCTGAAGCATGTCTCATGCAGTTTGGGTTTTGTTCATGAACTCTCTGCCTACACCTATGTCTTCAAGATTTCTACCCACTTTTTCTTCCAGTAGATTAAATGCTTGATTTATTATTTAGATCTTTGATCCATTTTGACTTTAGTTCATAGTGATAGACATAGATCTAGTTTTAGTCTTCAGCATGTGGAGAGTCAGTTTTTCCAGCACCACTTATTAGAGAGACTATCTTTCTTCCAGTGAGCAAGTTTGGCTGCTTTGTCAAAGATAGGGTGGCTGAGTGTTTGGAGTTGTATTGTATCTTCTAGTCTCTTCCACTGATCCTCAGGTCATTTGTGTATATTTTTTGCCATTACCATGCTGATTTTAACACAGTAGCTTTGTAGTATAATTTCAAGTTGGGGATTGTACTGCCCCCTGCTTTGCTTTTTTTGCCCAGAATTGCTTTTGCTATTCTAGTTTTTTTCTGGTTCCAAATGAATTTTAGAAATGTTTTCTCTAGTTCTGTGAGGTATGCTAACGATACTTTGATTGGGATTGCATTAAATTTGTACAGCAATTTTTGAAGTGTGGCCACTACACTGGTTCTTCATATCCATGAGAAAGAGATAACTTTCCATTTTCTGATATCCTCTTCAATCTCCTTTTTCAGAGTACTGTATTTTTCAGTATATAGGTCTTTTTACTTCTTTTGTTAGATTGATTCCTAGGTATTTTATTTCTGTTGGATTCTACTGTGAATATTTGCATTTCTAACAAGTCATCTGTGCACAGCCAGGGATGCACTTTGAGAAGCACAGGATAGATCAAAACTGGACCTCTCAATAATAATTCAGTGATTTGCCACAAATGGCCACCAAGATCTCCCACTGCCACCCCAAGCCTAATAAAAACTTTAGAAAACTCTGGTATAGGGCAAAAGTATTGGGTTTGGAGTTAGAAGTCCTAGGCACTATCATTTACTGAATGTTAATAATATATATTCTTGGATAAACCCACCTACTCTTTGAGACAAATGTTTTTCTGTCTGTCTTATACTATATTAGTAAGTTATTTTGTTTGGTTTTTTTACTTAATATAGAGAGACAGAGACAGAGACAGAGACAGAGACAGAGACAGACAGAAACAGACACACAGTTCCACCATGTTGTCCAGGCTGTCCTTGAACTCCTGAGCTCAAACGATTCTGCCTTGGCCTCCCCAGTAGCTGAGACTACAGGTACATGCTATCATGCCTGGCTTTTTTTTCTCCCTTATGTTGGAGATCAAATCCAGGCCCTTATAAATCCTTGTGCCTATTATAACATCCTCAGATCAGTGGTAAAATTTTAGAATGAAATTTCATGTTCCTAGGGATCCAAAATTATGTTCTGATAGGAAATATGCTCCCAGAAGGCCTCTTATCTAGGGACTTCAGAAAAACTAAAGTGGGTAGTATATTCTATGTTGTAAAAATTGAGTATTTTTTGTAAATTATTTAGAGACACATGGATAATATTGTAAAGCATATCCTTCAGAAAATCTATCTCAAAATAGAAGGTTCTTATTAAAGAATGTGTTCTTAATAGTTCCTGCAAAACAGACTAGCTAGGTGGGTCACATGCCTGTAATCCCAGCGCTTAGGAGGCTGACACAAGAGGATCGAAATGAGTTCAAGTCTAGCCTGAACTACATAGAGAAACCCTGTTTCAACACTCACCTCTCATTACACCCCCACTGCCAAAAAAAAAAAAAAAAAAAAAAAAAAAAAAATTCAGACTTACCCATTTCATAATTGGAGCCCAGAAAAATACTGTTCTAGGACCTGGAAAAAAAAAAGGTTAAAAAATAAGCCAAATATTTTATATATGTTTTAAACAACTGTCACCCAATTTCACAAATGTAATGTTTTATTAATCTATTTCCAATCACTTTTGCTATGTTTCCCACTAACTTTGCATTAATTAACTGTTATGATTTGGGGTTTTTGCAAGGGGAACAATAGAACACAGAACACATTTTATAATATTAGTTTATAAGGAATTATTCAAGAATCATATACAACAAGTACAAGAAATCTATCCACACACTAAATACTAAAGAACCCAGCTGAGGGCCTGGATCCTCACGGATCTGTGCTGGAAAGGCCCAAAAGTCAGTGGCGGAAGCTAGGAAGTCTATGCCAGTGTGATGAAGGATCTGTGCTAGCAGGCTGAGGAGTTCGAACCGGAGCTAGGAAGCAGTGCTCAAGGTAAGAACCAGAGTTCCCACAAAAGTACCACCGCCATCCTCAGAAGTGAGGTCCTGAGCTCCTCCAGCAATGAGGAAAGCAGAGTTCCCATCAAGAAAGCCAATGAAACAAGCTTTGTGAGGCTGAGCAGTGCACCATTTTCCCCTCTGGAGACAGGAAGTGATGTTGAAAATGAGGACCAGAGCTTCTCCAAAGTTCAATGGGAAAGCCAGCATAATAAGTTCCTCCAGCAGAACAGCCCAAGAGAACTAGCAGCTTCGAACAGCTTCTCCAAAAAGCATCCCTAACAGTGTTTCAGCAGCTTCTGTTCTGCCTTTATGCTGCTGGCAACAACCCTCAGGCGGGCCTCTGGCACCCAACACCACACTAGTTTAACTCAGCTGGGTGTAATAAGTTGACCACCAGTTAGAAATTCACTACATTAACATTTATAAAGGCACTATCACTCTATCAGTCTCTCTCAGGTTGTTCTTATCTCCTCAGTTACCCGTATTTTTGTGACATACTAAAAATTAAGGTATAATGGAGATGGTTTTAGAAATGATTACCAGTGCATTGCCTTGAAAAAGGAACTGAATGTTCCACATTTAAGGTTCATCCATGGATGATTTTCAAATTGGGGAAATTGAAAAAAAAAAAAAAAAAGGAATTTTAGTATTATTAGCCTTAGTAGATATATGTATATTCACTAATTTTATTGTATCTTAACTATAAATGACATTTTACCTTATGTATTATGGTAAGAGTTCTTGCAAAAAATCTACATAGTCTATTAAAAGTTAATGAATCAATTGTGCAGGGAAAAGTCTAGAGGATCAAATCTAGGGTCTTGCCCACGCTAAGCCAGCAGTCAACTAGTATCCTAGGATCAAGGGGCCTGTCAAGTTCACAGGAAAGATGAAGGACCCCTGGTCAACTAGTTCACAGCAGGGTTATTGCTTTGGTCAGCCTTGTACCCATCGTTTTTTTGTGCAAAGTGTAAATAAATGTCAAGTACTGCAGATACTGGTTTCTTAAGAAACTCTGAATTTGATATGTGTGCATGATGCTTTGGAGCTGGAAGGAAATTCAGATAGCAGTAATCCAGAGCTTTAGTGTTATCTATGAGGTTTACAAGGTCCATGACCTCTCAGGCCAAGGAGCAGATTACAACCTAAGCCTTCAAATAATTAAAACTACTGCTCCTTAGTAATTTTCAACTCATGTACTCCTTTTAATGGTGAGGGGACAGAATGAATAAAGACAAGGATTTTTTCCAAGGGAATGTAAAATATAGTAAACATGCCGAGTCCACTACCTACCAGAGCCCTTAGTGTACTGTGCATGCACCTATGACTCTGAATCACAAAATACATTTATTCCTTAACATGAAAATCAAGCAGTTTTATATAAGAGAACAGCGACTTACCAGAAAATTTGAGAAGTTTAAGATCTGATTCTTATCATAAGTATTTTTTGTGCTCCTGGGCACTGAACTCAGGGCCTCTATACTGATATACATCCCCATAGCACCAGGCCTATAACTTTCTTCTTTTACAAAACAAAAAATGCTTGTGAATCAAACAGATCTTAAATTTGTCGAAAGTCACTGTTCTCTTACATAACTTTCAAGCTGCCTAGAGCTGTAATTTCAGCATTGTGGGAGGCTGCAACCAACTCAGCAACTTAGTAAGACCCAATCTCAGAATAAAAATGAGCTGTCTAGCCATTGTAGTTCAGCACAAAACCCCTGGGATTTTTGTATCAGCTTGATATTTAGAAATGGAGTTTGGCGATTTTCTAATGAATCCTAAAGTCCTTCTGTTGCAGGCTTCAAAGGAGTTGGATGCTGATAGGCCAGGACTCAAAAAGTTCCCCAGGCATCCTGCCCCCAAACTCTCTCCCCCTTGGTCCCATGCAGAGCCAAACCAAAACCACAGAATAGGTCCACCTGACTCTGATTCAACCACAAGGAAGACAAATAATGTCCACCTGTGACCTGGCTGGTCCAGCCCACAATCATGCTCCTACGAAGTCTCTTGCCCCCCTTTGTTTGGTGCTGTCTTGGTTCACAAGACAGCCCTCTGCATGAGCTTCCACCTCCGCATGTACCTCCAATAAACCTGCTTTTACTCGTGTCAGTGTGTCTGGTCAGGTTCTGCGTGGCTTCGGCTGCCTCGTTTTTGACCTTTCAGATACCATCTTTAGGGTTATTCTTCATACACTAGGAGATTGTGGCACAGACCTGTCTTTCGGTGAGCAGAAATGGTTTTAAAGAGAAATTCAGATATCATGGGTATCTTATATCTAAAAGGTTTTACTTTCCTGTATCCTTCTAAACTTTTCCAATTTAAGGGTTAAAGGCATAGTTGAGTTGCAGAGCACGTGCTTGGCATATAGGAGGTCCTGGGTTCAAACTCTAGCACCAAAAAAAATTCTGTATTTTAGTTGTGGAACAAATCTGGATATAGTGCTGAAATGGTTGCTATAAGAATTAAAACTAGGGCCAGGCATGGTGGCACACACCTGTAATCCCAGCACTCGGGAGGCTGAGGCAGTAGGATCGTTGTGGCTTTGGGACCAGCTTGGGCTACAAAGTGAGCTTGTGGCCAGGCTGAACTGCATAGTGAGACCTTGTTTCAAAAAGATAAGTAAGAAATAAATAAACAAAACTAGCAAGGTGTTCTAAATTTGATGTTCCTACGCTGAATGAAAAAAATTTATTTAGCTGAGGGTGGTGGCACATACCTGTAATCCCAGCACTGAGGATGCTGAGGCAGGAGAATCACTATGAATTCAAGGAAACCTGAGCTACATATACAGTAAGAACCTGTCTCAAGCAACATAAAAACAAAACAAAGAAATCTATCCAAATTCAGCTTTGGCTTAACTGTACTTATCTTTCATCCAGTTCTCTAAGTTCTGCACTGTTCTGATCACAGCCACCACTATCTCTAGAACTGCAGTCACATCATTTTTTTCATCTTGAAAAGATACAGAATTTAATTTCTTTCTTTGGTTAAGACAAGCTTGACTTGAAAAATAAATTTTTACTATAGAAGAAAGTAAAAGAACACATGAAGGCATTTAGGTTTAGAATACAAGCTTGGCAGTATTATCTAAATTTTAGATTGGACTGCTGCTTTTCACCCTCCAGTGATTGTGCCTCCAGAGAACTTGCACAGTGGAGGTATTTTTAGCTGCCAGAACCAGTAGGGAGAGTGCTGCCGCCGCTGCTGCCAACTAGTGGGCAGAGGCCAGGATGCTGTTCAACATCCTCTATTGCATGGCACAAAGGCCCTCAGCAAGGAAGCGTCCTGCTCTAATGCCAAGAGGCAAAGACTCCGGCCAAAGCCAGGCAAACATTCAATTGCATTCACGCTGCTGATGGCTGTACACTAGCTCCTGCTGTCCCTCCAGATACTCTGCCCTGTCTTCATCTAATTTAAGGATCCCTTCTTCAACACTCCTGGATTAGGTTAAACACTGCTTCTCCAACTGCCACAGTGGCCTGCATGTTCACCTACTGTTTTCTATACTGATAAAATCATTAAATGATTAAAATCATTATTCAAGCATCTGTCATTTTCACCAGACCCTGGATTGCTTAAAGATAAAGCCTGTTTCTTAATCTTCCTTGACAAACAAATGTATGTGTTGTCTTTTTATCTTCTGAGCCAAGGTCTTGCTACAATAGTCCAGCTTGGCCTTAAGCTCACTGTACAGCTCAGACTGACCTCAAACTTGATCCTCCTGCTTCAGCCTCCCAAATGCTGGGATTATAGATGTGTGCCATTATGCCTGCTGACAAGTGTGCATTTGTTAATAGGATTTTATTAAACTAACCCTGCCTAGGAATGATGCCAATCAAAAAAAGGTTTTCCATTAAACAACAGTCCTCTCTCCATAGCAGACTGTACTCTTGGTCTTCTCAAAGCCCCTTACAATTTAATTTAGTTTGAACTTTGAGAATTCTACCATTGCACTTAGATCATTTTTCTTGGTTATACAGAATCTCTGCATCATGTGCAGTATCAGTTACTAAGTTTATTTTTTAATTGTTAAAAAAAAATTTATGAGACAGGGTCTTGCTTTGTGGCCCAGGCTGGCCTTGAACTTATAGCGATCCTCTTGCCTCAGCCCTCAGGTGCTTAGATTACAGGTGTCACCTAGCTTCATCACTAGTTTATTTTTTATTCCTGCACAAATCTCGGCTTCATCACTAGCTAAGTCAGCATGCCATTGCAGTCTCTGCTAAATGGTGCTCATCTTTCTTCTGAACTCCAAAGACTTTTCTCTTTCTGTTATAAATCTTTTTTTTTTTTTTTTTTTTTTTTTTTTTTTTTTTTTTTTTTCCTCCTGCTACCCTAAATCTGTTTTCTGAGTAATGTCTCTAGATTCTGACATGTTTGATCTTATGGGATAAATGGTCAAGTTATTCAATAGGTTTGCCTGGTAACTAATTTACTCAACTGCTCCAAGCTATGCGACAGTTTAAAAATATTAACTGAGTACCAGCCACAATCCAATCAAACCAAACCCCAAAGCAAAACAACAGAAAACTTTAAACATGAACCTTGGATCACGAGAGGTGTTTTAGTGAATAATTTTAAGCAATAAAACAAAATCTGAAGTAGTCTAGGCAGTACCAAGTACTATACAAAAAAAGTCAGTAACAAATATTATAGTCTGAATTACTAATTTTTCTGAAATACCAGAGGATGCTGACAAGTTATAGATAATCAGCATTGGGTAACTATAAATGCAAACTAGTAGTGTTCCAATTGCTGTAGTCACACAATGGATTAAAAGTTTCAAAGAAAACTTAGTTTATGTGTTCATTTTACCTTAGTTAATTATTACTATTTATATCACTAGGGCTTTTGCATTGAGCTATGTTTTCAGTCCTTTTAATTTAATTTTTTAATTTTTAGATGCAGTAGCCACTCTGGCCTCCAAATTGCTACATAGCTGAGACTGGACTAAAACATGCGATCCTTATGCCTCAGTCTCCAGAATCCTGAGATTATAGGCCTATGCTTTAAAAGTACATTCTTTTAGACAAAGAACCAATAACATATTTTCATCTTTTTTTCTTAAAACTTTACTCTTTGTAATTGAAAGGCTCAATTACTGACAAGTTAGAAACATCAAACAACTATTTCATATTTATATATATACTTAAAAGATGAAACTACAGAGAAAATACAGAGAATAGTTATTTTTGTACTTTATTGTCTTATTTTTAGGGTGTTTTTTTTTTATTGATTTTTTTTTTGTACCAGGGATTGAACTCAGGACCTTGGGCTGGCCAGGCAAGCACTTATTCTATTGAGCTATCTCCCCAGCCCCTATTGTCTTATTTTTAAAGTGAAATTTGTTTGTAAAAATTTTTTTCTTTTTTTTTGATATTACAAATTGAACTCAGGACCTCACACTTGTCAGGCAGGCACTACATCACTGAACTAAATCCCCTGGTCCATGAAACGGATTTTTATTTTTATTTTTTATTTATGTTTTTTGTTTATTTTAATGTATTTGGTACAGGGTCTCACTATGCAGCTTGAGTAATGATCCTCCTGTTTTTAGCCTCCCCAACACTGAGATTACAGGCATGCACCACCACACCCAGTCTCGGTGGCTGGCTCAGTGCACCTGGAGGTGTGACCAGCGTGGCATGCGGTGCTGGGGATCAAACCCTGGTCCCCTGCGCTTGCCTAAGCCCGTGCTTTGTCCACTGAGCTATCTCACTGGCCCTGAAACAGAGTTTTAAAAGTTCAAATTTTTCAAATAAGAATTTAAGAATTTTTGCAAGTAAATATCATAACCAAATCATAACAAATTTTCAAACAAATTAACACACTTCATTTGTACTCCTATACTTGATAAACCAAATTTTACTTTCTAGTTCCTTTGGGAGGAATTATTGCTAGTGAAATATTATAAGAATTCTACCGAGAAAGCATGTCATATATGTACATGTGAGTCTTTCCTCAAAGAGAGACTTCCTTCTTGGAAAAGAACTGGTGATACACGCACATAATGAGCTGAGGGGTTCACTATGTCCCATTGTGAAGATGCTCCTTACTGAGTATTAGGTCATAAAAATTATACATATTAATGGAGTCTCATGTGATGCTATGACATACAGAGACACGGTGAAATGTTTAAATCAGCCTAAAAATAGCTATCTCCTCACACATCACTTCCAGTGAAAGCAATCAAAATACTTTTTTCTATTTTGAGATGACACTACATGGTTAGTATCTGTAGTCACCTTCATGTGCAATGGCACACAGGGTCCCCTCACTCCTATCTGTGACTTAGTATCCCTGATCAACCTTTTCCCATCCCCCTCTCCTTTTTCAGCCTGCCCCCCATTCATTATTATGTGACCACAGCTACACACACATCCTTGGGCATTCTTTAGGACTTGTCTGGCACAGAAATTGACTGCCAAAAATCATTCATTTTTATCTGTGCCAAAGCTAGTTTTAATACATCACACAGCAGGAGACAGGGAGTATGAGTGTGTGTGTGTGTGTGTGTGCCTACCCTCTCTCTCTCTTCTTATAAAGATAACAGGATTGAATTATGGGGGCTCCACCCTGAGATTATAACTAATCCTAATCTTTTTAGCAAGATCCCAACTCTAAGCGCCACAGTCTGATTAAATTTCCACTCCCTTAATACCTTATAGTCCTGTGTAATTCTGTGGTTTTTTTTTCTTTTATGAAATAGGATCTCACTATATAGTTCAAGCTGGCCTCAGCCTCCCAAGAGCTGGGATCACAGGCGTGTACCACCCCATCTGGCTCCCTTATACCTTATAGCAGTGATGGTGAACCTTTTAGAGCTTTCAATGACATAAAGAGCCTGCTCTGGCCTGCGTGCCATAGGTTTTTCCACCACTACCTTATAGTAAGGATTAAATTTCCACATGTGAAGCCTGGGCAGACACTAAAACCATAAACAGAACAAACCACAGAAGCAAAATAGCATTTAAGTGAACACTGCACTACATGATTTCAAGGTTATTTCTCTGACAAATAAATACAGTACGTGGAGTATAGGTTTGCTTGAGATGGTGGTGGTGTGTGGGTGGGAATGACATCCCCACATGTGAGCTGAGTACCCTGATTACTGAAGAACATACAAGCAAATAAAGGGTGAAGGTCCTAAAATTCTGGGCCACATAGTAGTTCAGTTGTGACACACATTTATATAAAAAACCTTCCTGTTGTGTCTCTAGGCACACTTGTTAATGATAAAACCCCCCGAGTTGTGAATAACTCTCAATATCCAGTAATTGCTTGGGTTTTACTCAGTACTAATGAGTTAGCTGTATTTTTCCTTCTTCTCCATTTCTCCATTCTTCAATGTCAAATTTTTAGTGACAGGTTATCTTACTCTGCATAGTGTTGAAAAGCTAAGAAGGGAGAGAACTAACATTTGCTGAGAGTTTAAATGCAAATACTGTGAGACATATTTTACAGATATTATATAATTTAATTTGCAGAGCAGTCCTTAAAGGTGATTATTATGTTTTCCATTTTATAGATTAGAAAACTGAGGCTTGGAGAGTTTAAGATCAAGGTCACACAACCAAGACTCAATCTATGTTTGTCTGGTTTATAAGCCTGTGTTTCTTCTCCTACACTGAAAATAAATGAACTAATTCAAGTTTAAAATTGTTCTTCCTAGCTGGGCATGGCGGCATATGTCTGTAATTCCAGCACTCAGGAGGCTGAGGCAGGAGGACCCTTGTGAGTTCAAGAGCAGCCTGGGATAAAAAGTGAGCTCAAGGTCAGCCTGAACTGCAAAGTGAGACCCTGTCTCAAAAAGACAAAAATCCTCCCCAAACTCTCCTCTAACTGCCTTTCCCTAACATTCAAACAGAAACTTCAAGAGGGTCACAATTGACTCCACAGAATTCACCTGCCTCTGCAATGCCCAGACTACTGTCCAACCTTCTATCCTGAAATTCTAGCAGAAAACACATCTCCAAAAAACCCAGTGTAAAAAAACCTAAGAAGCAAATTATATCAACTTCTTCATCAAGAACAGCCTCTCTTTGAAGTTGTTTTATAATGGGTTCAGTATTACAGTAAAGAACATTAAGAGTTAAATTAATGTCTCACTTAGAGGCATCCTTCATTCCATTATAAAAGTAGAAATCAGATTTAGTAACCAGTTCAGACTGTATAGGTGGAAAATGCCCTTTTTCAGAAGCACTTTAATCTTTCAATTTCTAAAATATCTTCCTATTTGCTAAATTGTATGCTTGGAAAGGATGTCAGAATACATCTGATTTTGGTCGCCAGCCCAATAAATATTATTACTTCCCGTCGTATAAAAGAAATAACAGAATTGTAGGTCTTAAATAAAGACTCCGAGGGTGGGACTTTCTAGTTTCTTATAGAACTGTTTCTTCTTCAACCACAAGGACAGTTTTCCAGTAGGACAAGAGAAAGCCGCCATACGCTGAGCTCTGAAGAATCGAGTATATGCTATTTTAAATCTTCACAGCGATCCACATTTTACAGAAACCAAAACACAGGTCTAGGATTCTGCCCAAGGTCACAACTACAGGTAAGCACGGGATAGTGCACAATTACATTCAGATCTGTCTGCATAAATAAGGTCCAGGCACAGCTTGTTTACTAATTTTATAAGGCAGAATTAAAGCAGCAAACTGGAGGTGCAAGATGGAAAGGATACGGATTCCGTAACCTGGATCCTGCGACCAGTTTGGGGCCAGGCTGGTGGTGCAGGCCGTCCTCCTCCTGTTAGGACAGAACGAAGTGTGACCTTTCCTCCAAACCCTGCGGTGTAGCAAGCCTACTTAGCTCTTCCCCGCGTGGGTGAAGATAGCTGAGGAAAGAGGGTAGGACAAGGGCTTCGCAGCCGAGGCCGTGGGAAAGCGTCAAATGTGAAGGCCAGGTCTGGAGTTCGAGTTGTGCTCGGGGAAGCGAATGCAACAAAACTCCCGCGACTCGCTGGTTTGGAAATGCAGGCAGGGAGGTGAAATGCAAAGGGTAAGAGCCGGAGGCTGGGAGAGGAGGCGGTTCAGCAGAGCAAAGGGAGGATGCCTGAAACGCCGCCAGCAGCAAGACCGTGTCAGCGGCTGTAAGGTCGCGCCAGGGACAGCGACCAGTGGGAGGCTGACGGGAGCCACTCTGGGTCATCACCTACCTGCCGGGTGGTTGTACAGCGGCCTCAGTTTCTCCGGCAGCATCAGCTCCACTCTGTCGAGGAGCCGGTGGTGCAAGGCCCGCAGGCCCCTGGCGCCGGCGGCTGACATCTCGGGAGCGTGCTGGTGGTGGGCGGCGGGGTGACGGCTTCGCGGTGTCCTCGTACCCGGCTGGCAGCGAAGGGCAGCTCTTCGTCACTGTGCCCGGCACCGCGCCTCGCGCCCGCCTCTCCCCTGGGGCGCCCTTCCCTTGGCTCTGCCGGGTCCCAGCGCTCCACCTCCGGGCCGCGCCAGCCACGGCTGACGGGGCGGAGGCTTAGAGACAGCCAGCCGCGGCCCGCCTCTTGCCGGCGGGCGGGGACAGAGGAGTCATGGCAACAGGTGCGGAACCTGAGCGAGCGCAGTGCGCACGCGCAGGGAGAACCTAGCGCCCTGATTGGTCTAAATCGCGGGGGCGGGGCGGAACCTTCACTTTTCCTGCTCCTTGCCCTGGAGGCCATGTTAGAGAAGGGAAAGTGAAGCCACACCTGCTTTTGGCCTCTTCACTTGGACGAAAAAGGCCCGTAGTTAAAATGGGCTTTTTAGGTCTTCCGTTCCACCACTAAAGATGACATCGCACTACTCTTGCTTCATGAGACTTGTGAGCGAGATACTACAGACCTCAGCTTCGTCTTTCTCTACTCCTCTTTTGCCCACAGAGAATTAGATTCGAGCGACCTGAGTCCAACCTTCTAGGGTGAGGGCAGCCGTGAGCACACCCTCTGTCTGACCTCCGTCTCTTAGGCCTGGGTGGATGGTTGGTAGGGTGGGGTGGTCGTCATCTCGCGAGAAATGCTTAGGGGAGTGTCCAGGGCGAAGAGGGCGGGGCATTGACGGCTCCGCCCCCCGTAGGAGGGGCACGGGAGGGGCTGTTGCCATCTCTGGAGATTCTGGGTCGTCCGAGGCAGAGAGTATGAGGCGAGCTTTGGCCCGGGTGTACCGGGGCGGCTCCGGGGAAGGAGCTGCGGCTGCCACTGCCGCTGTCGCCGCCGTCTAAGCTGTTGCCCGCGAGGCCCGGCGCGCGGATGGTGCCAGAGGAGCGCGGGGGTTGATCCGGACGCGTTCCCGCCCCGTCCTCCCCGCCCCCGCGCGGTGGTCCCCACCAGCCCTGCCTCGCCATGTCTCGGGGTGGCTCCTGCCCACACCTGTTGTGGGACGTAAGGCGACGGTCGCTGGGGCTGGAGGACCCGTCCCGGCTGCGGAGCCGCTACCTGGGTGAGCGAGCGCGCGGGGCGGAGGCGGAGGTCGCCGCCGCGTGGGGGAGGGGCGGAGACCCGGGCTATGACCGGGCTCCCTGGGAGGGCGGGTCGGCGTGGGACCTAGAGAGCACCCTGGCCAATTAGAGCCGAGCTGGGCGCTGTGCTCTCCCCGACAGATTCGGGCGACCGCCCTCCCTCCAGTCCCCAAGGGTTGGAGGGTCCCCGCCGACCTCCTGACCTGGGGGGACCAAGTGCCACTCCTGTCGCTGCACGGAGTCCGGACCCGAGTGACGATCGTGCTCCCCGCCCCCGCTGCCTCGAGGTGTAGGGTTTCGCGCTCCTCTCCCACCCTGGAAAACACACTTGGCATCTTCTGTTTCTTACTTAAGCTTCCTGAAAACAGCATCCAGCACAGAGGGAATAATATTCCACTCTCTTTTGGGTAACATGATTTTGGGCGGCTTCTAGGTCACGCCGGAGTTAACTAAAAAGTCACTGTCTTTAAAGTGGACCTACCCAATTTAGGAAGGATTTTTTTTTTCCCCCTGTGCCCCAGTGTGCAGATTAGTCACTTCTTTGTAAGGTAAATAATTTTGATTTTTACTTTAACAAAAATAAATAGAAAATGAAAGAAAATGAAATGTTGTTAGAGCAAGCTCTGATTGAGTAAAGTTAGAATTTTAAATTCTTTTGAGGGTCTCAAATTACATGAATATACTCACTTTTTAAAAACTCAGAAATAAAGCAGAACGCTCAACGTTGTTCTCTCCCATTCTAATTTCACACCTTTACCCTTAGGGGTAATAATATTTTCTGTTTCCTGAATATTTTTCTAGTTTTTTTTAAGCGGTGCTGGGGGCTGAACCGAGGATCACCTGTGCCGCACAAGGCTGTGGCGCTGAGCTACATTCCCAGCCCTTTCTAGTTTTGAAATGAGAGCTTGCTAAGTTGCCCAGCTGGCCTTTGGCCTGGAACTTGGGATCCTCTTGCCTCAGTCTACTGAGTGCCTCTTATTACAGGCTTGTGCCACCACGCCTTATTTTTTTCCGTTCTTCCAAGCACATAAGTACATAGGGAACAGTTGTGTGAGTGTGTGAGATAGGCCTGCATATATGGTGTCTTAAGCGTTGTTTTGCAAACTTGCTTTTTCTGCCTATTTGGCTCTCCTCCCATGGCAATAAAGATAACTCCTCTGTGGCTTTTAAGTTATTACATAATATGTAACAGTATGAAGTATCTGCTTGAGTCAACCTTTTTCTTCAAGTGGACAATCGCTGTTGCTAGCGTTGGTGCATGAACATCCCCATACTACTTTTGTGCTTTGGTTGTAGAAGGAGCGTAGAGTGATTAATCATTTTAAAACAAACATTGATAGAGTGCTTTTTAAAATGGTTAACCTAAAAAGGTGTGTAGGTGGTTTGTTTTTAGACTTTATTTACTGAGGAAGAACTTAATTTTAGTTTAATAAAAACACTTTTGTGAGTGACTTTATAATTTAGTCCTTTATTTCAGTTATTTAGACAGTTTAGACAAATACTTGTATGTAGCTTTATTTGTGTATTAGAACTTTGTAAATATTTGAAAACTTTACATGATAGTAGTGAAAAGGACACACAATCCCCCCCCCCCCCAGCTTCTAGGGCAGGAGGAGACGAGGTAGAAAGATGGTATTTTAGAAATTCCCATTTGATCTGCCTGGCTTTCACTCGTGAATGGGAAACAGCTTCGTAATTTCAGGTACCAGTTCCAACAGGCTGATTCTCATGGTACTCAACCTCAGGCACTTGGGTAGTAGTGTCATTGACCGTAACTTCTTGCACCTGAGTGCTGGTGTTCTGTAACTAAGCTTTGTGCCTGTGGGTGCTGGTGTTCAGGAGCTCAGTGGCAGCCACCTGGTTACTTGCATGGTGGCCTGAGGCTCAGTCCTGCTGTCCCAGAGGCCACCCTTGGGAGCTGGCTGAAGTGGTCAGTCAGATACATTCTACTCATCACAGCTTCTGGTGTTAATAAGTCCACCAGAATATCAGCATCTCAGTCTCACCTTCAGGATGCCACTGACTCGTAAAGCAGGGTGTGGGGCGCAGGTGTGTCCAGTGAGATGTGCTGTCCACTAGGCCCAGAGTATTCAGGTATCAGGAGCCTCACTGTGGGCACAGGGCTCAGGGAGGATACTGCCGAGCTGGAGGTGGTAGCGGACAGGTATATGTGTGTGCTTTTGGTTCATTGCAGCCTTACTAGTGACTGAATTAATTTAAATGTAGCAAACATACACTCCCTTCCTACTGTCCACTTCCTAGTGAGAATGGGATTGATATGATGGGTGTAGGGGAATCTATTGACTCATTTTTGTTTGTTTTTGATTTTATTAGAGACAGGGACTTAATATGTAGTTGAGGCTGGCTTTACTTTCTCAGCAATCCTCCTGCCCCAGCCTCCCAAGTGCTGGAATTACTGGTATGCACCACCACTCTTGGTGAGAGCCTACCAACTCTTAAGCTTAATCACACAATTTCAAATGTGTGTATCTACAGATAGCTCTTCGTTTCTTCTATACGTTGCTTTGATACTAGAATTGCACCCAAGAGTCCATGCTTTTGGTTCACTCAGCAAGCACTGTCACTCAACTATGTCTCTACTCCATTTTTATTTTTCTGAAGCAGTGGAGATTGAACCCAGAGCTTGCACATGCCAGGCAAATGCTCTACCACTGAGTCACATCCTTAGCCTCTTTTATTTCTTGAGATAGGGTCTTGGTGAGTTGCGCAGCTACCTTTGAACTTGTCGTTCTCCTGACTCAGCCTCCCAAGAATTGACGGTATAGGCCTGTCCTATTGTATTGGGCCATAGTCTTACTGTGAGACTATAATTTTTAATGAGCCTGATGTAAAAGTTAATGTAGGGTTTTTTTTTTTTAAATGGTAATCGTTAAAGTCCATAGAGACATCTGTGGGTTTGAAAGTTTCAGAATGATTGAGATTGTGCACTGCCAGGCACCATGGCACTCACCTCTAATTCTAGCACTCATGAGATGCACCTCTCATTCCAGGCAGGAGGATCTTGAGTTACAGGCCAGTCTGAGCTATGTAGCAAGAACCTGTTTGTTTGTTTGTTTTAAATCCGATAAAGACATGGTATGTTGCATAGCAGTGCTTTTGAAATTCAGTGATTGTTATCAGCCACACATTTTATTTCCATATTTATGTAGTCTTATAGACCTTGTTTAGGAAGAATTCTTATTTGTATGCATTTCCTATTTCTCCTCCTATTTCTTGTCATTGGACAGATTTAATTGTAAATTGAGTTTGCTTTCTAACTTTTCTAAATTGAGACAGTTGACAAAAAGTTATTTTAAGTAACTTTCCCACGAAATTTATCTACTATAAAGAATAAAATATTTATTATAAAATACTTAAATTATGATTAAGCAGCCAGTAACACCTTATTAGTGGAGATTGAAATATTTTCTAAGTGTAGAAAGTCATTGTCCTTTGAATATTAGACTTAGTATGTACTGAAATGAACAGGTTTACATGTAATTACTCTCTAGTGTACCTTGAATGCATACATTTTAAATAACCAGTTTCTTCATACTGTGTTGTTGTTACAGTATATTAGAGAAAAGTCAGTGAGTTCTGACTTTTGCTTTATTGCCTAGCCACTGGGGAAAAGTTAATGCAATGTTTGTATATTGTTTCTTCAGCCTGGAAATCTCAATGAGAGTAGAAAACAATGTGTGGTGCTAGTGGTGAAAGATGGCTGTCAAATATAAAAAACTGTAGGGTATATTGGTTATTGTTTCAGGTAGAACAATCAAAGACCTACTAATCATAAAAACTAGATAGTATAATAACACTGTTGTGGATTTCCTTCATCATGGTATGGAGTGAGTCAAGTTCAAAGTGCTTAGAAGTTGAAACCTCATATGCCATAGAATTTTATTTATTTTTGTTGACTTCACTTTTATTTTCATTTGTAGTACTATAATATAGTACTGTAATGTATAATAGTACAGAAAACTATAGTATGATCTTGCACAGTACATCAGCAAACATTATAGTACTGTATAAACAAGGTATACTGT